CCACAGTAATTGGCTTTTCAGGCTGTTGTGGTTACCCAGCCATCAGTTTAGTGTGTTTGTATTTGTGTTTGTGTTTGCGTTGTGTGGGTGCGTATGTGTTTATGTCTATATCACACAATGATGGAAAAGCAATTAAATTAAATCGCTCGTTTTGGCTATTTCAATAACTTGCTTCACATACTTCTTAATGTGGCGAAAAATCAAAGAAAGATCTCATAAGACAATAGCAAATCATAACAGAGACATAGCTTCGTTTTCATCAACAGAATGTGAAGAATCACAAAGCTCACCAACGGCTCTAAATAATCCAACTACATCCAACCCAATCATCACGAGCACAAATAAAATGGAAGAGAGAGTCACCAAAATGTTCCTTGTCGTCCTTATTGCCATGTTCTGCTGCTATGGTCCTGCAACTTTGTTCATTTATCTCATCAACTTCTGTGAATCATGCGGTTGTGCCGCTCTGCATTGGTTTTTGGAATTGGCATTCATTTCAATCTTAATTAGTTCTAGCTTAAACTTCTTCTGTTATGCAATGCAATCTTCCAGATTCCGAAGTGCTTTAATCAAAATCTTGAAGATAAAGAGGAAGATTCGTCGACACTACGAAACAGTTTCCATAAGCGTGAATATTAGCCAAGATACTTGCGCCAGAACGATTGACACAAGAAAAGATGTACAAATGGAAGAAATTAGTGGAAAAACCAGACGCCAGTGATATAACCGGACAGCACAACAAAAACGAAAGATGTATTTTGAAAGCGGAGAGTACAGTATAACATATTTATAAAGAAATAGAATATCTGCTTGCGAATAGGAATTTTATGTCTGGTATCTTGTTATTATTACTATTATTATAGGGGATTAACTCTGCCAAGGATGTAGAGGAAACCTGCTTCGCAAAGATAAAACTTTGGCTGCAGGCAAATAGTTTAATTGATGGAACATTTAGATAATTTACAGGATACTGTCATAAAGACACACTAAAACATTTTACGTTCAGTCGCTTATAGTCAGCTGTCGAGGCAAGTTATAAAACTCTTCAGCAGTAATTTTTACATCCCACCTCCTCCCCATACCTGCATCCATATGGTATTGGGGGCAACTGTGGGCGTAATTTTTGCCCTCACCTTACTGGGCAAAACAATGTTGACACATAATTATGTAAAACTTAGATTTAATTATTTCTGTTAAAGTTAATAAAGAGTATAAGTAAGGACGAAACTTTCTAACTGTATCCACTGCAGTTTGATCTTTAAAAGACTTTCTCAAACTCACATAATGTAAACAAACTGTACATCTGCTAAACGCACCTGGTTGCCTCTTCAACAGTCTTATTAACAGTTTGAATATTTTAGTCAAATAATTAATACGCCTATAGCTATTGGGCTGCATATGGGCATTTGATGTACCAAATTCAACTGCTGACAATTGTAGATGTATCTAATTTCACAAAATATATAAAATTGATAATGACAAAATGAAGTACAATGTAACACTATTCTAAGTATAGGCGTACCGGGCTGTTTTCCGGGGGCGGAAGGCAGTTAAAAGTTTGCCAGAATTTTTATGGAGGACTATAATAACCTGAATATAAAATATTTTCTGATAAATCTGCCCGAATTTTCTTGATTTCCCCTAGCATTTGTCCGAATTTCCATGGTTTTCTAAGGTTGTTTTTTTTTGGGGGGGGGGGGGCAGTTGCCCCTTGCCTCGTGCGCATATGATTCTAACCACAATTTATTATACTGTACGAAGAATCCACTACATTAACAAACTTCTAAAAAAAAAACCTAAAAAAAAACGACCATTGCAAAATGATTTTATACTTAGTTCATAAATGCATTGTTGAATCATCACCAAAATATCAAGATCATTTTCTATATTGAACAGTTACAATGCATTACTCTATGAAAACAAGTTTGAAATCACAAAACAAGTCAATCAATTTCAAACAGTCCCATATCAATTTCGATATATATTTCAAAAACGAAATTTATCTTACTTCGTGGGGCAGTTCATTTTCATGCATACTCATATGATCTTAGTGGCAATTTCAAACTCAGCATCGCAGACAAAACAGATCTAATTCCATACAAACATCACATAGGTTAGGAGAGGACAGTGGCAAGTAAAATTCAATGTTTTGTCAAAATCATTATTTCAATGTTTTGTCAGAAACTAATTCCCGCACATAATTGTGTGCTTGTTTACGTTAGGCCAAAAAAAATATGTTGGTTTCCGGTCTCCCGACCCTACCTAGCTTTTGGCCGTCGAAATCCCGACCCTAAACTTTTTTATTGGATCATGCTTGTAAGTGTTTCCACTAAGAGGAAAAAGTTTGTGGAAAATTGAAATTTGAGGCAATATTAAGGAAATTTATCTTTGGATGTGGAAGCACTGACTAAACAAAATGGCGTCCGGTTGTTAGGAAAATTAAAAAAAAGTTAAAAAAAAAAGTTAAAACCGACCAACCCTACCGAAGTTTTTGTAAGAAGAAACCGGAAACCCCACATTTTTTTGGCCTTATGCATTCATTCATTCTGTACATGTTTGATTCTATATTTTAAATCAGTTGATATCAATTACACTTCATGATTAAGTCTTCAAATGACATTGTTAAGAAAAACATAAGATTAGAGTGTTGATGAATCAATCCTCAATGCATCATTTTTTTCAAAACTGGACCTGATGGCAAGTGAATTTTATTTTGAGCAACCAATTTTCATGTCTAACTTGCCCTGATCGCAAGTGGTAAAAATTATTTAAACTTAGAAGATTTAAACTGTTTGTTGCATTAATTTTATACAGTCAAAATGATTATCACTCAGTATCTCATTAGGAAGTCCTTGTCTATACACAATTGAATATAAATTTATCTACCAACAAGTGTTGCACTTTTGACACCTTGACTTTGTCAGAATATATTCTTACATATATAGCACACTGAAAACTTCTGTTTCTCTGGTGTACGGTTATTTTATGTTCATTAATTCTGTGCAAACATCGCATTCATAAGGTTTGATCCAGTATGTGCTCTTTTATGACTTGCTAAGGGGTCTGACATTGAAAATCTTTTGTTACAAACTATACATCGTTGATTAAATCTGTTATTACAATGACATGATAAATAATAATAATAATGATTTATTTCCAGCTTATCTATGGGTCGAGTTTAATATGAGAACAAGGCATACTGTTATTTAGCATTAGATTGGGTCATTCTAGAAAACATCCATATGACCCCCACAAAGGAAATTG